TGAAGGCCATGAGAAATGGGTATGGTCCGGATCTCCGGGGGTAGCTGGTTCCAAAGAGTCGGAGCAGCCACAGAGAAGGTTTACTTTAGAGTGGCTTTTACTAATTCTTTTTGCTACAGGAACTCTAAGTCACAAAAGATGTTGTGTTGTGATATTGGGTTTCCCTTTGTGTTTATTTCTTAATTTTAAACTTATGAACTTTCTTGTTAGATATAAAGCATTTAGAGCTAAATTTTGTTACAACTGCTTATTAAAAAGTGATATCTAACATGCCCACTGATAGCACTCCAAAGCCAAGTGTCAGGCCTGCAGCCATCTTTTCTTTTGGATCTTTGGCCTGCCACCCTTTCTGTTATTCTGCTATGCCTTTTCTATTGTGGGAAAATGGGAGGGGGGTGTTGTACAGAGTTAGATGCTATGTAGCCATAACAACATTCCTTTCTAGAAATCCAAGGTCATCCTTTGTCTCTGCACCTCTGCATCTGACCGGAACTGGATGGGGGAATTACCAGCATGGCAGTGGGAGATTGGACCATGGGATGGAATTGTGGGTATGGGGGCAAGATCTTGAACTTTCAACTCGGTAGGGAAAACTGGGAAGCTTTCAGATTTGGGTTTTCACAGATGTGCCAACGTGGCTCTCTTAATAAATTGGAACTTTGAGGAATGCTTTGCCTTGGACTCTGATTTAATTTTGGATGCTACTTGGAACTCTGACATAAAGGTTTTGGTTATATAAAGTTCCTGAGATTCAGTCAACCAATTTCTTTTTCTTGCTATACAGGTAGTCCTCGATTTATGATCACAATTGAGACCAGAATTTTTCTTGCTAAGCAGTGGTTGTTTAATGAGTCACGCTTGATTTTATGACCGTTTTTGCCATGATTGTTAAGTGAATCCAGCTCCCCTCATTGACGTTGCTTGTTGGAGGTCAGCTGGGAAGATCGCAAATGATGATTACATGCCCTCGGAATGCTGCAATTTTAAATATGTGCCGGTTGCCAAGCATCCACATTTTGATCATATGACCATGGAAATGTTGAGGTGATTGTAAGTGTGAGGACCGGTCATAAGTCACTTTTTTCAGTGCCACTATCTTCGAAAGGTTGCTAAATGGATGGTTGTGAGTCATGGACTACCTGTATATTAGAAAAAGGTTAGGTAGAGATACGTTTGCTGCCTCTTCAGCAAAGGTATGTTGTTTTCATTTTTGGGTTTCAGAACTTAGAACTGTTTCCTCAAAACAAATTGAGAAAAATATAATTTTCTTTACAGCATGGAAACATTTACTAATCGTTTCCTAGGTAAAGGTTCCCCTTGCACGTATGTGTTAGTCGTTCCTAACTCTAGGGGGCAATGCTCATCTCCTTTTCAAAGCTGAAGAGCCACAGTGCTGTCCGACGACGTCTCCATGGCCATGTGGCTGACATGACTAAATGCCGAAGGCGCACGGAACGCTGTTATTGTCCTATTTTTCTACTTGCATTTTTACGTGTTTTCGAACTGCTCGGTTGGCAGAAGCCGTGACAAGTAACGGGAGCTCACTCTGTTACGCAGCAGTAGGGATTCGAACCGCCGAACTGCCGACCTTTCTGATCAACCAGCTCAGTGTCTTAGCCACTGAGCCATTGCGTTTCCTAGTAATCAATTTAATTGTGAAATTTTAAAGCTACTTCTAATAAGCAAAACCATAGACTAGTTGTCTGACAGCTCTGGTCCTTAAGCGTAGTTTAAATTTTTTCTGGTTGCAAGAAGATTACAAAATGTGTTTATTTCTCTTAATCTACCCGAATTCCACCTATGGTTGTCAGGGCATCCTGAATGACCATGATTTAGCCCTGGTATATTAACCCCCGGACACTTTTTTTTTACTGATATCATATTCCAGTATCTCTTTATATACTAGTTACAGATTTTTTTTTTACCAGAATGTCAAATTGATCTGACTAGCAGCCAAGGCTTAAGTAGACGTTTAATGGCTTTTCATCTCCTGCAGAAACACTGTCTGCCATAAGGGGCATTTCAGTGTTTTACAGTCAACTTTAAAATGGGTATACTTTCTACAGATATCCCTCAATTTAATTTTTCAGCTGATTGCGTATTAAATCTTAAGAAACATTCTAGACGGCATCTTAATTTCCTTGATTGTAAAATCCGAATAACACCTGTAATTAAAGCAGAAAACTGATCCTTACGCGCCTAGGTAGCCTCCCATCTATTGATCTGCCTGATACCGTCAGGGGAGAAAACAGTCAACCGCTGAGTTGCTTTGTCATTGACATAAGCCGAGAGGATTTTTCCCCCCTCCTATACTGTTTATACACCAGTGTATAGACTTGCTGGCTGGCTGAATTTTAAAGAGTGCGAAGGTTTAAAGACTTGTCCCCCGAGGGATGATCCTGCCAGTTGGGAAGCGAGCTGAGGCCATATTTTGCAGAAGTGTGTGTGTGTGTGTGTGTGTGTGTGTGTGTGGATGGGGGAGGGATGGAAAGGAAGGTATTGAGTTAGTTTACAATGTTGCAGGAAGGGCTGATGTATCTATTACAGCGAAATACAATAATATCTGTATTTCCTCTTTTCTGTCCGTTCTCATTTTGTGGAAGATCAGAAAATGTAACAGGGATGTTACAAATGTCTGCAAACACCGGTCCCTTCGAGACGGAAGCTTACGTGCTTACTAATCAATATTGGGAAGAAATATAGTTTGTGGTGGTTTGTTAAAGAAAACTTGTATTTATTACTGTGAAGACCCAGAGCCTAAAACACTAATATTGTTGCTAGAAGAAAAGGGGGAAAACATAGAATTCTCTGTTATAATATGCTTAATGTTGAGTAGCATTTAAATATTACGTTTATTACTTTGCCTCTTTTTTATGAGGCTAGCATTAATTTGCTATCTCTAAGTAAATTGTGACAATCTGATTTTAGTGACGCTTCATAAAATGGACAGACAATCTCTCTTGAAAATATAGTATATTGGAAAGTCCAAATAGAATTCTAGCCTCGCTAGGGTAGCAATTAATAAAACAGTCATCAGGGCTTTTGAGCATGTACTTTCTTCTATTTCTTTTTCTTTCTACAGTGATTTTACCAATTTCTTGTGGCTTTCACTTTGACCTTACGCTGCATTTGCATCAGTACAGGTTTTGCATCTGATTTAGAGCCTGAAATTTAACTTGTAAGATTAGCCAAACATAGCTATGAAAGAATACGTCCACACGGATGTAACATGAAATTACAGTCATATATACCACTAGTAGAAATTAAAATTTCCCAGGAATAATTATGGCAATTAATTTAGTATATCTGAAATACAATAATGAGAAATGTATATTTTGCCTGATGTTGTTAATCAGATCCTAAGAACTGAGCACATAACACATATATGTTTCTAGGAGTGAATTTCCCCCCAGCTATTTTAGTTCTCACAATGCACAGGATGTATGTTTCCAAGTTTTCTATTATCTTTTATTTCATTGAACTTGGGGATTTTTTAACCAGAGCCTGTAATTAAGGTGAATCCAGTAACAAAACAATGATTTGTGAAACATTTCTGTCACACTACCTGGATCTGAGTTTCTCTAATGTAACGAGCCAATTCCCTCCAAATTTCTCCTATCCATTCCCCTGGTGAAATACTAATTTTATATTAGTAACTGAAAGAAAATGCAGGCCTTCTCCTTTTCTTGTATGTTTTTTTCCCCAAGCGATCTTTCCAATATCTTTCTTCTTGTAAGGGATGAAGCTGGCAAGGTGGAATCTCTGATTCTCCTGCTCAAGGAAGCCATTTTGTTAGCAAGACGAAAGAGATGGCAGGAAACTTCAGGACGGGAAAGGAGCCGCTAACAGCCGTTGATTCGGGAGGTTTTAGGAAGGGGCCCAGCAATTAAACCCGGCAAATAACTTTTGCATAGAGGCTGGAGTCCCATTAGGTAGACAAATTCTACATACATACATACATACATACATTCCTAATTATTGCAGTAAATTTATTTACCTAGCCTTCTTGTGTCTGCATGGAAATACAGAGATAGCATAAGTGCCATGTCAGATACCAAGTCCTGTCAGTCCTTTCTGTTAAAGCTTAGATTGTACGTGTCAACCAGAAACCTTTCTTTATTATAACATTAATCTTTTCAGTGCATTGTAGCTTAATGTCACTAAAAACCTATTTAATTCTGGGTGACTATTGGTATTATACAGCTGAAAATAAGGGAATGGTGCCAATCCTATTTCTTGTTTTGTCACAGTGGCATCGAACACCTGATAGTTATAGCTGCTTCTTTTATTCTACTATTTTTCTTAACTTTATAATAAATTTTCAAACCAGTCTATGCCACTTGTGTAATTAGAAATGAGTAGCTGAGTAGCATGTCAAACCCAACAGGAAGAAATAGTTGTGTTGTTTCTATAAAATTGCAGGTATTTTCTTTTTAATTGGCAGGTAATTTTGAACCTTGCTGCTATCCTAAAGGGTTAACTGTCCAATTTTTTTTTTGCACGTAACAAATGAAAAGTTCCAGCTTTTAAAAACATTTGCTCATAAAATGCATATGCTGTCAACTTAGTTCCCTTTCCTCTGCTTGCATTTTAATTGAAACAACATTTGTGTTTCTGAGCCAGGATCTGTCAGAAGTCCCCATGGCCGGTCTGTAGTACAAGCAGCAGCAGACGAGGCCTCCCCATATGGTCGGGGGCTTCTTGTAAAATCCATATGGCCTTGTTGAAGAGAATCCCAGCAGGGATGTGAAGGGTGTTAATACCCTTCAGGCCAGGCCTTTTCCTCCTCCTGGGGCTTCTGGGGTAGTATTGTCTTTGCAATCTGCCAAAGCACAAACTTAATTCCTTTTTAATAATCAATTATTTTAATCCAGGAACAGGCAGCATAATTTCCTCTTCCTGTCAAATATTGCTTGATTTTTTTTTCTGGGGAAAAAATTACAGACATTTTCAGGTAATAGTTAAATACTTATCACATTTTTTTTCTTTTGCTTTTACAGGCAATCCTCCAGAGTATACCCAAATTCTGCTTTCCTTTTGACATTACAAGGTATGTCTTATCACGTTTTTTCAATAGGTGAGGTTGGTACACTGAAAACAATTTGCACTGCAAAATATTGATGTTCATAGGAAAGCATTGAATGGATTGAAGCACTGTATTAAAATAATTAAGAAGTAAAGTTTTTTTTTGAATTGTAAGTTTTAATTTGTATCTTTGGCGGTAGGCAGCATGATTTTAGTATTCTTTTAGGCTTTTAATCTATAACCCTCAATCTTCAGCATGCATTTCTTATTAATATGAAGTTGATAAGACATTGTAACTGTATATTTACTTCCTTCCAGCCCTCAAAACAAGTATACATAAGAAGTTCCAATTGAAATATCTTTTAAAGATTGTGCAGATGTGTTCTGAAAATTGTGTTTTAATTTTAAAATAGATTTATTGTGTATTGTATATGTAGGTCTGCAATATTTATTCATATTTAATAGATTGGTAGAGCAAGCATTTGTTTTCAGCTTATCAAGCAGTAGATTTTAAAAGAAAACCATTCATGATTTTCAGTACCTTTTTTAAAAAAAACGTGGGTAACAGATGCCATTAGAAGAGGCATTTCTCCTCATTTTGTCATAGGAGAAACGCCTCTTCTGAGAATGGCTGTTATGACACCAGCTTAGCAGAATTGTTGTTCCATGTGGAACTCTGTGCAGGCTTAATTAAATGCTTAATTATAAGTTAGCTGATTGGTCATTGGAGATTTCTTTAACCACTAGAATTCAATGGATAGAATTCTTTACAATTCTTTAATCCAGTTGGAGGGCGCATGCCAGGAAGAACAACTAAAAAGTTCCAAGCACACCCACTGAACTTCATGGCCAGACAAAGATTTGACTCTGAAAATTTCTCATATACAAACATTTTGTCAACTGTGGGATACTTACCCTGCATAATATTTTTTTCGTAATTTAAGAAACATTTGGGGGCATTGTTTAAAATGATTTGAGTTAGCCAGTTGTTCTTACGAATTACTTGTTTTTCAGTAGCTTCCAAATACTAATCATTCCGTGTCTTTAATACAGTATTTTGAAATGAGGGTAAGTGAAAACTCAAATAACCAAGTGCAATTAAAATTAACTAGGCATTGATGTGATCTTTTAAATTAAACTAATATTACTTACGTTAAAGTTGGTACATGAACAATTGGGAAATGAGAGAAGGAAGGGAAAGGGGAATTTGGTCTAGTGGTTAAGGTTCTAGGTTAGAAAATAGGAGATCGTGAATTCAAGTCCCACCTTAGTCTTGAAAGCCACGTGTGACATTAGGCCAGTCATCCTCTCTCAGCCAACACACTCCCCAGAGTTGTTGTGGAGAAATAGGAGGGGAAAGCCACCTGGGATATGTTTGCTGCCTTGAGTTATCTGTAAAAATAATAAATAAATAATAAATAATTCTAACTCTGTTCAGTGATGCAGGGGGTAAAGATAAATAAAAATAAAAATAAAAATACAGGCATTGACTATGTCAGTGTTTTTCAACCACTGTGCCGCGGCACACTAGTGTGCCGTGACATAGTGTAAGGTGTGCCGTGGGAGAATTACTTTATATATAGTCAATATAGGCACAGAGTTAAAAAATTTTAACATTTTCTAATGGTGGTGTGCCTCGTGATTTTTTTCATGAAAAAAGTGTGCCTTTGCACAAAAAAGGTTGAAAAACACTGGACTATGTGATCAAAGCCCATCCATTTTTTACTGTGTGGTTTTCACCCTATTTGTAACATAAAATGGCAACATAGAAAGTCATGCTGGAAACTCAGTGTGAATTAAGGAATTGAGAAACAGAAATGTGCAGAAAGTTAGGACAAGACAAATCCAGATGATTACCATGGGCAAAGAGCAGCATTTTCAAACTTGGCCCCTCTGATTTCTGGGTGTTAACATCCCAGCAAACCTAGAAGTTACTAATTAAGAAGGCTTCCATATAAGTTTATGGTACCATTGATACCAGAAATCTTTACCACTTTCAGTTACTTTATTACTTTCATAAATCATGGCATTGGTTGCAGTTACTTTTTAAATTTGATTAATGCTTCAGCAATCTGAAGGTGGACTTGTGCAATAATAAATTCTTAAATGTTTAAGATACTGCAAGAAACCTATCCAGTAAAAAATAATAAAATAATTGTGTTTTTCTATTACTTGAAAGAAAATCTCAGAGTCACATATTCTTTCACTCCTTTCATACTCACTTTTAATTTTGATTAAATCACAGATCATACAAGTATTGAGAAAATGAATAAAACAAACCGAGAAAGAGCAACAATGAGGCTGTAATTTCATAATCAGTCTTTTAAAAATTCTGTAAAGTAATTTTCATCACATCAGAACTATGGTAATGGCCCATTTTTCGCTCATTTCTGCCCTCCCCAGCTCCCAGGAGCACTCTGAAAGCCTCCTAAAGGCTATGCACGGCAATTTTGGTGAAGGAGGCAAAAAATCCTGCTGTATTCAGTGTATAAGACGCACCCAGATTTTTCAGCCTCTTTTTTTGAGGGAAAAAGGTGCATCTTATACTTTGAAAACTAAGAGAGTGTCTGGACCAAGATCACCCAGCTGCTTTTCATAGCTAATGGTATCTGGCTTTGTAGCCTGATGCCTTAACCATTAGAATAAGATGTCCATGGAGAATCATCCAGGAAACGGTTGTCCCCAAAATGCTTTTTCCAAGAAGCAACTGGACTTTCTGATTTTTCTTGAAGATGTTTCATTTCTCGTCCAAGAAACTTCTTCAGCTCTGGAGAAGCTTCTTGATGAGAAGCGAAACATCTTTAAAGAAAAAAAAAAAACAGAAAGTCCAGTTGCCTCTTGAAAAAGCACCTTTGGGACACTAGAATAAAAAAAAAATACTTGTAAATGTAGAACAGACTTTTGTTTCAAAAGTATGAAAGTTAAAGGAAGAAGACTAAAAGAAATGTTGAATCTTAGCACCCAAATGAGGCAAGGAAGAAAAGGCCCAAAGAGAGGCTATTCTTCGTATTTTACTAACAGCAAAACTTCCTTTATGATAGAGAATTACAGCAATATTGCTGTGGTTTTTGAAACTTCAACTTAGAAAAAAATACTTTATTCTTGAAGTGAGAGCTTTTAAAAGAAAAGACACAATGATATAGCCCTTGATAAAAAAGTCTCAATGAGTGCTAGTTTCTTATTTTTAAATTTAAATATCACATTTCCTTTTTTGCTACTTATTTTGGAATATGTATAAATATTAATTGTAACAGTTCAATTGTAACATAATTCAAATCATTATGTGAATACAGGAATATACAGTATTCTGTGAACAGGTTAAATGGGACATAATACAATAACGAATCATTGCATAATGGGTGTTTTTATCTCTTTACCTGGATTAGATTAGTTTAAACTGATATTCAGATCTCACAGCCAAGGGAAAAAACTGTTTGCTCACCAAGCAGTTAAGGTAAAACCATAGGAGAATAATTGAGTCAAGTATTAAAGTGAAAGAGATATAAAAGCTAAAAGCATTAAAATAATCAGCTCTAAAACTTTGGATAAATTATCAAATTTATTGATAAATTTATCCTTTGGATAAAGGAGAATAAAGAAATGTAATACAGTTTATGAAGGAGAATATTTTAATACAGGAATTAAAGTAATGCTAAGTGGTAGCCAAAATTTGTGTAGAGATTTTATTTAAGGCAGGAAGTAGAATAACAAAACTCAACTGACTTGAGTTTGTGCAAAGAATTAGAAGTTAACCATGTGCTTAATTAAAGATTTCAGTGAAGTTAACACTGCCTTTTCATTGTCAAATACAGTTTCAATTTCACTGTCCTTAACAGTGAAAATATTTTTTAATGCTTAGATCACTAGATCACCAGCTGCCCACAGAAAAATAGTTCTGAGCTACCTTATAGTTCTAAACGTTGTGGTCTGTTAAGAGATTAGATAATTTTATGATTGACCTCCCCCTTCCCCTCTGTAGCTGTTGTAAAAGCTTCATCTGAGCATTTGCTGATGGAATGGTGACCAGCAATTAGATATGTAATTCCTGAGCTGTGGGCAGATGGGCAGCAAATAAATGCAATAAATAAGTAAAACAAACGCAATAAATAAATAAATAAAATAAATGCAATAAATAA